GACATAGTTGGGGAGACTCAGTAGGTGAGTAAACAAATTTTTTAAAAATTACAAACTATGATTAAAAAGGAAACAAATAGGTTGCTGAGTTTACAAAATGAAGAACAAGGCTTATTTTAGGCATGGCAGAAAGAAAAGCCTTTGCTACCAATGGTGCCCTCATCACCTCTCACCTGATAACTACAATAACTGCGACTTCTAGGGCATCTCCCTGTTGGTACCCCAGGGGCACTTGCTACTGAGAATGCTCTTATCTTGGTTAACTGCATGATTAGCTCCCTCCCCTCCTTCATGTCATTCCTCAAAAGATACCCTTGGGCCAGGCACTGTGGCTCTGTAATCCCAGCACTCCAGGAGGCCAAGGTGGGAGGACCATGTCAGCCCAGGAGTTCAAGGTCAGCCTGGGCAATACTGTGAAACCTCATCTTTACAAAACAATACAAAAATTAGCTGGGCATGGTGGTGCGTGTCTGTAGTCCCAGCTACTCGGGAGGCTGAGATGGGAGGATAACTTAAATCCAGGAAGCAGAGATTGCAGTGACTTGAGACTGCGTCACTACACGCCAGCCTGGGTAATAGAGTGAGACCCCGTCTCAAAAAAAAAAAGAAAAAAAAAAGACATCCTCTCAAGGAGGCCTGTGGTCATCCTAGTTAAAATTTCACATACACAGACCACTCCTTCCTCCCCTACACAACCACGCTTTATCTCCCACTTCTGAGCTTAATGTTTTTCTTCTTACTACCTATCACAAAAGTAAGTTATGAAGCATAATAATAAACTACATCCTCCTGATCTCTCAACCCAGCCTAAAAATTAAAAGATTATCAGAGTTCAAGATCACCCTGGGCAACAAAGCAAGACTCCATGTCTGCAAAAAATACAAAAATTAGCCAGATGTGAAGACGTATGCCTGTAGTCCCAGTTATTCGGGAGGCTGAAGCAGGAGGATTGCTTTATTTAGCCCAAGAGTTAGAGGCTGCAGTGAGCCATAATGCCACTACTTTTGAACAACAAAAGACCTACTAGCTTTATAAAAATTGACTGTATTTGATTCCTTCACAGTAGCTGAATATTCTCCTTCTGCCCATGTTGTCACGTTGGGGCAATGAAAAACAACACACATGGCGATCTGGTGGATGCTCAAATCTAAACCGAGGCACTTTGTCACACTGGGTACATTTGTTTAGTAATTGTCTATTAAATGGTTTCTCCCTAAGAACATCACAATTTATCTTTATTTATTTAACATTATTGATTTAATCTGCCATGCTTATCTTAGAAACATAGATTTCTCTCGGAAATAAAAACCTTGCCAAAAATCGCACAGGGGACCTTCAACTTCACCTTCATCAAACTAGTTTGAATTTCCTGTGAGCTGAGGAAAGACTTTCCCCACTGGGGCTAAGAGAAGGGGAGTCAGAGAACTCAGAAGGCCTGAAAGACTGAAGAGACTGGAGATCTCTACAGGGTTCCCAGAAACTTGGTAGGAATTAAGCATTTCACGTAGGAACAGCACGTTATTGGGCGTTTACCTACAGAGATAAATATTTTTTCTTTGGCAGATCGTTCCACAAGGCCGTGGGAGGAATTCCTGGGGAGTTCCCTTAGAATTTAAAAAAAAAAAATCTAGTTTATTTATATTTGACCACTCCGCAGACCCATCCCACAGTCTCACAAAACCCCACCTAGAAGGGCACGCAGCCGATTCAGAACCCAGTAAGCAACACTTCCGCGCCTACCCTATCCCTTCCTGGAGTACATCCGGGACTCGGGGGGGCGTGGTCTCTGGAGGCGGAGTCGGCGCAAGCCGGCCCCGCCCACCTGACTGAATTCACAGTCACGCTCGCTCCTTCCGCCCGCCAGGGGTCGCAGGCTGCGAGAGCAGGTTCCTGGTTTGGCAAACACTCTCCCTCTCAGGCCTGTTCATTCTCGCGAGAGAAAGCGCGAGGCCTGCCGGGAGGGAGCGCGGCCGTACTTAGGTTTGCTCAAAATGGCAGCGCTGGAGGAAGAATTCACGTTGTCTTCGGTAGTCCTGAGCGCCGGGCCTGAAGGACTCCTAGGCGTGGAGCAGAGCGACAAAACGGACCAGTTTCTAGTGACAGACAGCGGCAGGACAGTCATCCTCTATAAGGTGAAGGCAGTAGGATTGGGAGCGCCCCGACTGCCTTCTCGCCCCTTTCTGAGCGCGGAGCTCGAGCTCGAGTTTCTCACAGCTTCAGAAAGAGATCGTGGAGAAGGCTTAACAGAGAGCCGGCTGGGCCTGTCGGGAACGCTGAGTGAGGTCTAGAATCTGGCTTGCTTGCCTTCCTGTAAAGGCATATTTCCGACTTGCAAGGGCAGACCGTCTGAGTGCACGTGGGTTAGACTCGGAAAAGAAAGAGAACCTGTGCCTTTGCTTCGGAACTGGCGGAGATGGTATTGCTAAGATTCCCTCCTGGGGTCTTTATCGTCTTAGCTGCCCGCGGGAGGATGGAACAGAGATTGTTTGGGCGGGATAGGATGACACTGACAAGAGTGGGAATAGTGGTTTAGCCCTGTGTCTACACTTCACACCCCTGTCTTTGTAGGGAGGGACAATTTTAGAGGGTGAGGGACTTTCTTGATAGCTCGGTAAGAATCTTGACTCCAAGTGGCTTGTCTGTTGGCATCTCTGGTTCACGCTGTGAATCCTGGAGTTGAGTCCCAGGAAAATCTGCAAGTCCTGCCCCCATTTCAGCCTAAAGCCTGATAGAGAACACTTTCTAAGCTTGCTTTTGGTGGTCGCTTGGAAAGCAGTTACTTTTATCTGGGCTGCTGAACATAGTTTTCTATGTTTTAAAGAAGTTAGCTATCTGCTTTGACGTTTCGAGAACAGGTTGCCAACAGCTCCTTGTACTGACTCTGTTGACTCTTGGGTTTTACTTGGGCTGTCAAGTATGTTTGCAGTTTTGCAGTTCCTACATAGGAATACAGCGACTGATTGGAGTTGGATAGACATGATCCCAGATGTCTACTTAATTTCCCATGCCCCTGTTTAAAGGCATAACTTCCCATGCCTCTATTCAGAGGCATAATATAATCAATTTTAAATGTACTATTGTTTTTTAACAAAGGGTTGTTTATTTACTTATTTAGCAACGTAGTTATATTTTCATTTTAACTACCCTTTTAAAGTTTTGGCCGGGCACGGTGGCTCACGCCTGTAATCCCAGAACTTTGCGAGGCCGAGGTGGGTGGGTCACTTGAGGTTCAGGAGTTCGAGACCAGCCAGGCCAACATGGTGAAATGCTGCCTCTACTAAAAATAGGAAAATTAGCTGGACTCGGTGACGTGTGCTTGTAATTCCAGAGCTTTGGGAGGCCGAGGTGGATGGAGCGCCGTGGCGGGATCTCAGCTCACTGCAACCTCTGCCTCCTGGGTTCAAGCGATTCTCCTGCCTCAGCCTCCCGAATAACTGGGGTTACAGGCCCGCGCCACCACGCCTGGCTAATTTTTGTATTTTTGGTAGAGACAGGATTTCACCATGTTGGTCAGGCTGGTCTCGAACTCTTGACCTTGTGATTCTCCCACCTTGACCTCTCAGTGCTGGGATTACAGACGTGAGCCACTGCAACTAGCCAGTAAATTTTTTAAATGCTGTCATTTTAATGGTTTCTTTTATTGATTATAAATTTAATTGCTTTTAATATTTGACTTAATATTGTATTTATCTTAATTTCATTAGGTTTCTGATCAGAAACCCTTGGGGAGCTGGTCAGTGAAACAAGGTCAAGTTATAACATGTCCAGCTGTGTGCAACTTTCAAACTAGAGAGTATATTGTTGTACACGATAATAAGGTGAGTTTTAAAACTTTCATATAATATATACAACATAAATGTTGATTATTAACTATTTGTATTTATTATATGTAAATGGAGAATAGAATAGTTTTTAACTAGTATGTTTTGATTTAAGGTTTTAAGAATATGGAATAATGAAGATGTAAACCTGGATAAAGTATTTAAAGCTACAGTAAGTCTTTGAATTTTCCAACGTATTTATTTAGCTTATTGGTGAATTAGAATCATTCATAATAAAGTATGTGTTATTTGTTTTAATACTTCTGGGAAAATAAGCATAAGGTCCTAATCAGGTTTTCATTCTAATTATCTTACAGTGTATCTTGGTAACATGTCTCCATGAGTTAAGGAGATGAGGATTTATATAATTCATGAATGAGAAATTTACACTTATTTCCATGAGTTTGGATGTTTGGAGTATGTCTTTTATGAGCGCAAAATGAACTTCCTGTACCTTTTCTTAGAATAGGTAGACCCTGCAAGTTTCATGTATTGTACATTTTTAAGAGTGGCATATAATACAGTAAAAAATCAAATCAAAACATGGCTAGCTGTGTATGTTCTACTAATGACCTAGAGTGTGTGCATTTTTTCTTACTTATAAAATGAGTATCTTAAACTAGGTTAATCTTGAAAGTTCTTTCCAGTTCTAAATGTCTAAATATAATTGGCACATTTTAGAAGTGGCTCACAATAGGGCTAATTCAGATATAACGCAGTTGTTGCCTGGATCCTTGAAACTTCTAGCCAGCTAGCCATGCTGTTCCCTGGCTCCAGTCTTTTCATTTACCTTGAAATTCATAACACAATCCTGAATTTTAAACAGTGGGGGTTTATTTGTTGTTGTTTTCCTCACACACAGTGTTAACTTCTTTTTCTGGAATTGCGGGCTGTAGTTTTAATTGTGGCATCAGTTCTTATCTAACACCAGAATTGCATGTACCTCTGCATGAATGGCTTATTTGTATCTTCCCCATTTTTAAGAAACCCAGGTTTTAGTCTAACCTTTAGTAGTCACAATGGATAAACCAAAAGTGAACTTACAGATTAAAGTTGGGACTAGGTAGAGAGGATAAGAGAAAAAATTAAGACTTCTAAATGTGTTTGTGTTGTAGATTAGATTTTGGAACCATACATAGTTACAAAGCAAAACTAAATCAAAATGAAAACAAAGCAGTCACTTAAAAAGAAGCCTCCGCGGCCGGGCACAGTGGCTCACGCCTGTAATCCCAGCACTTTGGGAGCCCGAGACGGGCGGATCACGAGGTCAGGAGATTGAGACCATCCTGGCTAACACCGTGAAACCCCGTCTCTACTAAAAATACAAAAAAATTATCCGGGCGTGGTGGCGGGTGCCTGTAGTCCCAGGTACTTAGGAGGTTGAGGGAGGAGAATGGCGTGAACCCGGGAGGCGGAGCTTGCAGTAAGCCAAGATCGCCCCACTGCACTCCAGCCTGGGGCGACAGAGCGAGACTCCATCTCAAAAAAAAAAAAAAGCCTTCTCTAAATATCATTGTCTTATTATATTAGGTATACACTGTTTTAGAATAAAAATTAAAATTTTGTATGTTCTTCCAGTTGTCAGCTGAAGTATATAGGATACTTTCAGTGCAAGGGACAGAACCCTTGGTGCTCTTCAAGGAAGGTGCTGTTCGTGGTTTAGAGGCCTTGCTTGCAGACCCCCAGCAGAAAATTGAAACTGTTATCTCTGATGAAGAAGTGATCAAGTAAGTACCAGTACTTGTAAGTAAATTTATCAAAATAAAAATGCACTGAACATTTTTTTGCCTTGTTCAAAAGTATTGGTTATAAATATAATGAAAGTAACCTAATTAAAAGTCACTTATAAAACATTGACTAAAATAACATCCCAAAAAGCCTCTGGGCATGATGATTGAAGAAACCATAGAGTCATATGAGGTCTTGACAGAAATGGATACTCAGTTATCTGAGGATGAAATGGGTTATCCCAAAAGACCAAAATCTTTTTGTTTCTGTCATATTGCCCTGACTACCAAGCTCCCATCCTTGTCACCTGGCTAAAAGTGTATCGTATTAGTGAAATCATGGTGTGTGTTAAGACCTCTGCATTCCCAGATTCTGAAATAAAACTGGAAAAATGACTCATCAAGGGATAGAAGGACACTTCATGATTTCACGTCTTTCTGATCCTCTTTATTTCATCACATTTCCTGTTCATTGACTTGTTTTCTCCAGGTCTACCTGGTAGAAACTCATTTTCTAAAAGTCAGAGTTCAGACTGGTACTTACAACGTGGACAGTAACCAGTTATAGATTAGACTGACCTGATGAATACCTCTAAGGTGTGAGCAACTGTTTTGAGGGAAATCTTTGGAGGTTTTGAGCTCTAGTTGCCGCTTTGCCACAAACTGTGCAGCCAATAACTATGCCTCAGCTTCCTCTGTATTGAGATCTTAATGTTTTCCTCAGAACATGAGTCCCAAAAGTAACTCTGAAAAAAATGAGGTAGGGGAGTCAATTTAATTTTGGGAAGCACTGCATCTCCCCTCTTGGAACTTTAAAATTCACATTATCATCTGGAGAGTTCAACGACCTGCATTTAATCCAGAGCTGCATTTGACAAACACGTATTCCTTGTGGTATGTGTTTCAAAACGCCAAATTAAGTGTTCTCTGATGTCTCTCTGGTTCTAAAAAATATTTAATGAAAACATTGATTAAATTTTGATTGATATGTGTCTCCCAGCTGGTGATTTTTGCATTATATAATTTTTCTTTTTTCTTTTTTTTTTTTTTTTGTAGATGGACAAAATTTTTCATAGTATTCAGGCATCCTGTTTTAATTTTTATTACTGAAAAAGTAAGTGATATCTTCAATTCCTGGCCCATTTTGTGAAATTTCTTTTAAAAAAAAATTTTTTTTTAGAGATAGGGTCTTGCCCTGTCACCCAGGCTTGAGAGCAGTGGTACCATGATGGTTCACTGCAGCCTCAACCTCCTGGCTCAAGCAATCCTCCCACCTCAGCCTGCCGAGTTGCCGAGTAGCTGGGACCACAGGCATGCACTACCATCCCGGCTTATGTTTTATTTTTTGTAGAGACAGGGTCTCACTGTGTTGCCCAGGCTGGTCTCAAACTCCTTGGGCTCAAGGGATCCTCCTGCCTTGGCCTTTCAAAGTCCTGGGATTACAGGTGTGAGCCATTGAGCCCAGCTGTGAAATTTCAAAACCTTTATTTATTTATTTATTTATTTATTTATTTTTTGAGACAGAGTTTCACTCCTGTTGCTCTTGTTGCCCAGCCTGGAGTGCAATGGCGTGATCTCGGCTCACCACAACCTCCTCCTCCCGGGTTCAAGTGATTCTCCTGCCTCAGCCTCCCAAGTAGCTGGGACTACAGGCGCCCGCCACCACGCCTGGCTAATTTTTGTGTTTTTAGTAGAGACGGGGTTTTACCATATTGGTCAGGCTGGTCTCGAGCTCCTGACCTTGTGATCTACCGACCTCGGCCTCCCAAAGTGCTAGGATTACAGGCGTGAGCCACTATGCCCGGTGCAAAACCATTATTTTTTGAATTAAAATGGGACTCCTTATTCTCTCAGAATATCTCTAATTTTTTTTTACTTTTTATTTTTTATTTTGTTTTGAGACAGAGTCTTGTTCTGTCACCCAGGCTGGAGTGCAGTGGCACGATCTCAGCTCACTGCAACCTCCACCTCCCGGGTTCAAGTGAGTCTCCTGCCTCAGCTTCCCAAGTAGCTGGGACTACAGGCGCCCGCCACCACGCCTGGCTAATTTTTGTGTTTTTAGTAGAGACGGGGTTTTACCATATTGGTCAGGCTGGTCTCGAGCTCCTGACCTTGTGATCTACCCACCTCGGCCTCCCAAAGTGCTGGGATTAGAGGCATGAACCACCATGTCCAGCCTGTAACTTTTTTATAACCTTTTAAATTTAAGGCTGGGTGTGGTGACCTCATCTCTATTAAAAAAAAAAAAATACTGGAGCATGACAACGCACACCTGTATTCCCAGATATTCGGGAGGCCAAGGTGGGAGGATTGCGTGAGCCTAGGAGGTGGAGGTTGCAATTGCAATGAGCCGAGATCACACCATGGTAGTCCAGCCTGGGCCACAGAGCAAGACCCTGTCTCAAAACAAACAAATAAATTTAATTGGATAAGATGTTTTTAAGTACTCATTGATGTAATTAGAATGGGGTGACAACTTCTGGTTTTGACATATGTTAAAATACTTGGTTGAAATGGGAATATTTATAAAATAACCTTTTTTTTTTTTTGCAGCATGGAAATTACTTTGCTTACGTGCAAATGTTTAACTCACGTATCTTAACCAAATATACACTCTTACTTGGACAAGATGAAAACTCTGTTATAGAGAGTTTTACTGCATCTGTAGATCGGAAATTCATCTCTTTGATGTCATTAAGTAAGTTTTCTTTCTTTGAACTTTCAGAGATTATAAATAGAGGAATGTTATCGGATAATGTCTGTTTTTGAATCTTAGACTTTGTGAAGCATTCAGTTACAGCCATTTTTGTGCTTTCTTACAGCAGTCATGCCTTCACTTTTTTTTTCTTTTTTTTTTTTTGAGATGGAGTCTCGCTCTGTCGCCCAGGCTGGAGTGTAGTGGCACAACCTCTGCTCACTGCAGCCTCTGCCTCCGGGACTCAAACAATTCTCCTGCCTCAGCCTCCTGAGTAGCTGGGATTACAGGTGCCCACCACCACATTCAGCTAATTTTTGTATTTTTAGTAGAGACAGGGTTTCACCATGTTGGCCAGGCTGGTCTCAAACTCCTGACCTCAGGTAATCTGCCCACCTTGGCCTCCCAAAGTGCTGGGATTACAGGCGTGAGCCACCTTGTCCGGCCCATGCATTTGCCTTTTGTACTTTGCATGTCTGGCCATGCATTAAATCAGCGATCCTGTGTTTTGAGGGCCTATTGAAGTACTTTAGGTATAGCATCCTTTTCTAACATTGCTTTGTCAAAATTCACCATAAGCTGGCCGGGCGTGGTGGCTCGTGCCTGTAATCCCAACACTTTGGGAGGCCGAGGTGGGTGGATCACGAGGTCAGGAGACCGAGACCATCCTGGCTAACACAGTGAAACCCCATCTCTACTAAAAATACAAAAAATTAGCTGGGCGTGGTAGAGGGCGCCTGTAGTTCCAGCTACTCGGGAAGCTGGGCAGGAGAATGGCGTGAACCCAGTAGGCGGAGCTTGCAGTAAGCCAAGATCGCTCCACTGCACTTCAGCCTGGGGGAAAAACAAAAACCCAACCCAACCGGGGAAAAAAAAAAATTATCATAAGCAATAAGTAACAATATTAATACCAATGAAAAAGAAACATCACCTTTTAGCTGATAAGGCCCAGATTCTTTGAGAGTGTAGTTAGTGAACCATAAACTGTCTATGTTTGGCATTGAATGGCCCCTCTGCTCCTTTTTTCCAACCATTAGATTTAGTATGCCCTTCCTTGAATAGTGACTGAGACAGATGGGCAAAAGGAGACTAACAGCAGCTTTGGCCCATGCCACTTGCTTTTTATTATAGATTGTAATGCCTTAGAGTCTACCTTTATGAAATGGTCTAAAGTATAACCCCAGTCTTAGGCCTCTAGGGCGGGGAAGGAAAAAAAAGTCTTTGTAGTACCCTCTGCCCTCCACCCTTCATGGCTGCTTTTGAAGTTGTTCTGAGAAAGTGAAGGAGAAATAAACAAGAGCAATACATAGGAAACATTTCCATATTATCACAATTAAAAATCTTTGTGAAGTTTTTCAGTGTGCAAATGTTTTCAGTGGCTATTTTTTAAAAGACTCCTGTCATTTTCATATCTTGGGGGTTATTGAAATGTACTTAATGTTTAGCTTAATGAACTTTGAAGGGAGGAAGTGTGAACCAAAGGGGCATATAAATCTTTATGTAACGGTAGGTACTCCCAGCTACTCGGGAGGCTGAGGCAGGAGAAGGGCGTAAACCCGGGAGGCGGAGCTTGCAGTGAGCTGAGATCAGGCCACTGCACTCCAGCCTGGGCGACAGAGCAAGACTCCGTCTCAAAAACAACAACAACAACAACAAAAAAATAGGTAGAACCACATGAAACTGCCAAAATTCAGTTGGACCACAAGAAAGCAATTTCATAAGATTTTCAGGGTGATTAGATAGGAAGAATTATAATAGACTAAGCACGGTGCCTCACACCTGTAATCCCAGCACTTTGGGAGACTGAGGCAGGAGGATTGCTTGAGCCCAGGAGTTGGAGACCAGCCTGGGCAACATAGCAAGACTCTATCTCTAAAAGAAAATTTTTTTTAATTAGCTGGGTGAGGTGTGTGCACCTGTAGTCCCAGCTATTTGGGAGGCTGACGTGGAAAGATAGATCACTTGAGCCCAGTAGGTTCAAGCTACAGTGAGCATGATCACACCACTGCAATATGGTCTTGGGTCACAGAGTGAGATCCTGTCTCACAAAAACAAACAAAAAAGAAATGTAATGTCTAGACCAGATGCTAATTACTTTCTAATGAGGGATATATCCTTTTAGGGACTAGATGATCTATATTCTTGGCAGTCCCCCTCAATATTTTGTTATTGCAGATATTTACAGTTTTTCTTGACTGTTACATTTCTTACTAAGATTTTTCTTGATAATACTCCTTTCCCCAGTTTAAATTTGTAGTATTCTTTAAGAGAAAGCACTGTGAGGGGATTGTTTATTTTTCTGGTTGGCTCTTTTATCAAATTGGTAAAATATTATAAACAATCTAGTACATTTACCTATACTAGATATAGAAATATCCTTCAATAACCAGCAACAAATGCTTATTTCCAACAGGCTCTGATGGTTGTATATATGAAACCTTGATACCAATACGTCCAACTGACCCAGAAAAAAATCAGACCTTAGTTAGATCACTGCTGCTCAAGGCTGTTGTATCTGGTAACACTCGAAACGGAGTTGCACTCACTGCCCTGGATCAGGATCACGTTGCAGTCCTAGGAAGTCCACAAGCAGCTTCTAAGGGTAACTGACATCCAATTCATTATGAAGGCCTTTGTATGTTTCCTTCACAGTGTACCTTTTACTCTTCTTTTCTTTTTCATTTTGTTATTACCCAGACTAATTCATTCTCTTTATCAGCATACCTAATTTTTTTGTACCTTCCCAATTCTTCTTGAATTGGTTTTTTATTTTTATTTTGCATTGATTAATCTTTCAAAAACACTTCTTGGTATCACCACCATGCTCATAACTATAATGTCATAAATAAATAAAAATGGTGAATATACTAGTCACCATCATACTAGCCTGCAGGCATTTGCAACATTAGTAAGCCTTGCGTTTGAGGATTGGATTCTTGGCAACATTTCACAGCATGGAAATCGACTGGACATGTACACCTTGAAATGTGGGAACTAATAGTGTACCTTTGATCTCCGTGACTTCTGAACAGGATTCTCATCACCATCTCGCCTCCTTACCCACCAACTCCCCTCCAGACTTCCTAGTCAGTCATGAAGAGCACGATTGCTCCTTGCCAGTACAGGATCACAGACCCCAGCCTTCACTAGAAAACTCAGACTCTATCGTTTAGCATAAGTCCCTTCATAGCCTAGACCCACCTTTTCCAACCTATTCTCCCAAATTCTGAGCAAGAACCCTCGGTTTTATTCAGGCGAGGCTCTCTATTGACCACACACTTGATACGCCCATCCTCACCTGTGTACTTTGTTCTGTTTCTCCTGCTTATTATTAAGATAGGAGCAAGGCTGGGTGCAGTAGCTCACGCCTGTAATCCCAGCACTTTGGGAGGCTGAGACGGGCAGATTGCTTGAGGCCAGGAGTTCGAGACCAGCTTGGCTAACATGGTGAAACTCCATGTCTCCACTGAAAATACAAAAAATTAGCTGGGCTTGTTGGCGCACAAACCCGGGAGATGGAGGTTGCGGTGAGCCGAAATTACACTATGCACTCAACCTGGTCAACAGAGTGAGACTCTGTCTCAAAAAAAAAACAGGAGCTCCTGGTTGTAGTGTAATTATACCATGTGCCTGGCACTTTACTAATATTATCTCATTATTTGTATCATTTACTCCTCTAACAACCATATGAGTGGAAATGAAGTTGTTACCATTCCCCTTTATAAAACAGGAAACTGAGGTAGGAGGTAACTAAGTAGTGGAACTAGGATTCAGCCCGAACAGGTGAATTCTGTTAAGCCATGTACCCTGCTGCTCTTAAGTCCTGACTCTTCACCACTTCACTAAGCTGTGCTTCTCCTCTCTCTCCTCCCATCTTCCTCTCTTATTCCTGCTCTACCTCCCTGCCAAAAAACCCCACTAGCTACTATAGAGTTTTCTGCGTCCCTTTCTGTGGTTTTATTGGTCCATATATGAGGAAATACTACTACTTAAGGGTTTTTCCCCTCCTCCTATGTATGCTAGCACACAATACATAACAGTTGTGTACCTTGTTTATTCACCTGGCCAAGATCTCTCAGAGATCTTTCCATATCATATTATTTTTTAATCTTCCTTGCTTTTTGAATAGCTGCATAATATTTCACTGAAGGGCGGCCCCACAGTGTGCTTCATCACTCTCCTATTGCCAGACATGAACATCTATTCTGCTTTTTTAAATTAAGATGAAATTCATATAACATAAAATTAATCGTTTTGTTTTTTAAAATTTTTAATGCTCTTTCATTTTTCATTTTTT